ATTGAATGAGATTATACTAGTAGCCCAAAATGGCTGTACTATTCCCGCCAATCACTACAGCGCTTCAGAGTACAATATAAAGAAAGGAAAGTGTCAATAACCTTGAACATCTCAAGGATGGTCAAGACTAGTCATATTTTGATGAATGATCAAGCATATAATAAAATGCAATTTTTGTTCATGCATGCTTTTATTTGTGACAATATTGTGATTTGTGTTTTTTCAATAAAAATACTCACAGGGGTTCAGTTGTCTCAAAATTGCCAAAGTGGCAAGTAGCATAATGGGACATTTCTAATTATTTGCTATACTTTAGAAGTAAAAAAAAAAAAACTGTCTGAAATGAAACAAAATTAAGATAATTTGAAATATACCAGCAAATTGCTGATGTCAGGGGAGCATTTAGATCACTGACTTGAATATCACAATATAATTTTTATTCTCACTTTAATTGTTAGTTTGTCTTTATTCACATCTGTATTGCATTTTAGTCAAAATCCTTATATGGATACAAATGCAATAAAGATAATTATTATTATTATAATATAGTAAATTTGAAACTTGTGATCAACAAGTCAATCTTTCAGAATCCAATGCAAAGTGTGTGGTTTATTGGGATTTGCCATTTTACATATTTTGTAATGTGTGTTCCTCTACTCAGTTAAAGTTCAGATCATCAAACTTAATGTAACATTTTTTTTAACTACTGTTAAGAAAAAATGAAACAACAAATTCTGGTTGTGTAGAAAAAGGCTGTATACAGTAAATTTCAATGAAGGCATGAATTGTTTTTTATATAAAATATTTATAAATAAATTTCAAATGACGATTGAAAACCATTTGACCAATCACAATGCCTTAGTCAATGCATGCAACCCGTATATAATATTTTTCATGTGCGATGAAAATGAATGAAGTAAAATGATGGAGGAAACAAAAACTCATGGGTAATTGGTATTGCGAATGAAAGCGTCTTTTATGAATTTCTTGTACAATAGTTCTTCGAGTTACTGTAAAATACTTTATTTTAGCTGGAATTAATTTTCGCTGAAAAGACTTTTTGGATGTTTTGTAGGGAATCTATTTTCACTGATTTTTGACACGTTGAATGAAAAATATAAGAAAAAAGGTATATCGATGGATTTATTTTCGCTGAATCATTCCTTCAGCAAAAATAGTGAAAATCAATTCCAAGCGAAAATAAAGTATTATACAGTAATTGTTTTCTAAATATTTTATAAAATTTCATAAAAATGCATTATGCTTTCATAAAATTCACTGTACAAATGTATTTGTAGCAAAATAATGGAATAATTTAGACAAAAGAA